AAGATGTGAGCCGCCACCACCAGGCAAGACCCTATCTTTTTGTTTTGTTTGTTGTTGTCCTTTATGCTGAACACAGCCTGTCGTCCCAGGCTTCAAACCTAGTCCTTCCTCTGTGTCAAGAATGGGCTGTGTACCCTCCTCCTCCCTCAGTGGTTGGGTGCATTTAAAATGCATGGTTATCCCTTTCAGGAAGAAGGAATTTGGGGAGAAACTAGTCTTGTATTTGTGGTTCGTGCATGTGAATGTGAGCTCATGCAAAGGGCAGAAGCCAGCTCAGGAGTCTGACCCACTGTGGAGAATTTCAAGCTTGAGAGGCATGCATCTTTGTATCCACCTACAGGATTGTTCCTCTGAATGCCACCCACCCCCCACCCCTCTTGCTGGGCTCACTCTCCAGCCTGCCCTCCAGAACTTACAGCTGGGGAAGAGTCTGAGGGCTGCAATTCCCTGCTCAAGGCAGACCCTAACCTGACCTGACTGGGCAGCCAGTGGAGAAAGGATGGCATACCTGGGGTGCCTTGGCTGCAGGCTAGGCAGGTGCTAGGAGCCCAGAGCAGGCTGTCAGTGAGCTTGGTGAGCACATAGGGTCACCAACTGTGGGTTTCAAAAAGCTCAGGGATTCTGTCTTGTCTGTCTGCCTCCTTCCCTTCCTCCCTCTCTCTCAGGACAAGTTCAAAGTCCCACCTGGACCCATCTGATTGGTCAGAGAAGATGAGGTCACAGTAGTAGCTGCAGGTCGTGGGTTCCCGACTAAGAAGGGCGCTCAGACTGCTGAGTCTAAGAGACATGGGTTTGAGGCCAGGCATGTTTGAAGACATCTAATGCTAGCACTTGAGAATTGGCAGGAGGATCAAGTTTGAGGCCAGCCTGGGCTATGTCCTTGGAGGAAGAGAGAGAAAGGAAGGATTCAGCTCCAAATCGTGGTCCTGTCTTTTCTGAGCCTCAGTTTTGCCATCTGCAAGTGATACTAGATGTGTAAGCTTAGCTGTGTGTCTGGTGGGGGTCTAAGGGCTAGAATCCTGAATTGCCATTGGGAACCACGGATGAACCAGAGCCGAAGAGGGATGTGAAGCTCTGGGCTCAAGAAAGCAGCTTTCAGGTCAACCAGGAACAGAAACCCTTCTGTGCAATTCCTGCAGCGGCCCCGCAGTGCTGGTCCCGTAGGGCTATTTCCTCCTTCCTCCCACATCAATATTATATGCAAGTGTTTTTAAGTCATTTCATCATGAAAAGAAACGATTTAACATAACTATTACCCAGGATTCTTCATGAAATATGCATCAAGCAATTAGGTCTAAAAGCGAGAGGTGAGGCCTCGCTCGCACCCTGGCTCAGCGGCGGGCAGCTGTGGGCTGAGTGATGTTTTATTAAAGCTCATGATTAGGCGAGGTGGGGCCTGTTATTAGGCCAGCACACGCCAGGCATGCTTGCTAATCCTGGGGACAGTGACAAGGAGGTGCTTTTTGTGATGGTAATGAGCGATCTAAGTGCCCTGACAGCCCCAGCACCCTGCCCCCCTGGGCCTCACAGGACTCATTAGACAGGTCACCCACCAGAAACACCCCTAATTGTGACTTCACATCTCTCACAAGATGTCCTATCAAAGGAGACAGAGCCAACAAAGAAACAGTTGGCAGGAGCCTGCCTGTCAGAGCTCTCTGGGAAAGGTGCTATCCCAGAACCACCATGCCACCCTGGCTGCTGCACCACCCTTGAAGAGGAGGGTAGGGGTAGGCTCTGTCTAGAGCCTGCCCACCTGGCCCTGAACATAAGCACAGAGCTCTGGTGGAATCTGAAGCTCCTTGATGGGTGCTTCTCTGGCCTGTTTGCTCCAGTGTATCAAAGGGGGAGGGTACAGTGGCCACAGGCTACTTCTCTCTAAACCATCCCATTATGAGCAGCCACAGACTCCCTGTGCGTCTGATGCACCCCTCTGGTTCCCCAGAGGTTCGGATGGTTTTCCTGCAATTACAATTTGATTTCTGTTGCTGTGATAATACCTTGCCCAGGATGGGTTTGTTGGTACACACCTTTGGTCCCACCACTAGGAAGGCAAAGACAGGCAGATCTCTGCCAGTTCGAGGTCATATCTGCATAGCAAGCCTGCTAGGGCTATACAGAGCCTGCTGCAGAAGAGAAGAAACGAAATCCAGACCAAAATCGACTCGGGAGGGAGGGATTATTTGACTTACAATTCCAAGTCCCAGTTCACCAATGAGGGATGTCCAGGCAGGAAGTTGAGACAGCTAATCATACCACATCCACAGTCAAGAGCAGAAAACCAATAAACAATACATGAGCA